GTTCAAGAAAACAATAAGTACGAATGGCCATTTTTTCCAATGTTAATCTTGTTTGAATATAATGTTCAAGAATTTTATCATCAATTTGATCATCACATAATTTGGATAAAATTTGATTATACAATTTTCGTGCACGTTTTATCCAAATCCAACGTTGTAAAAGATCTTCATCATTCATATCTTTCAATAATTCATCATCATCATCAAGACTCATTCTTTTTATACCCAACAATAAATCTTTATATGATTTTCGATATTTCATTAACGTGTCGAAATCATCCATTTTGTTCAAAAATTGGAAAACAAAATACATGCTGAAATTTTTTTTCCTTTTATATCTTTTTCAACTAATTTTATCGATATAGCTTGATTATATGACTCATTTTTAAAATGTTGTCCTTTGTTGTAACCAACACTGAGAGAAAAGTGTGGTTTGCACACGCTGATTTGAAGATTTGAAGAAATTGTTATGGGAGGTAAAGAAGTTATCAATAAAAACGGTTAAAAAAATGACCGGCAGTTAGGGCATTTCCACCCCAGATATATGGAACACATTGGACATTGTACTTGTACACGCCACATCCGCCGGAAAGGTGCAGATAAAAATTCACTTTTGTACAGATGAAGATTTTGAATAGCTTTGATTTCCAAAAGAAAACTTTTTTTCAAATCCTTTTGGAGAGGCGTGAGAGTTTTTTGCACTTTGACCTCAGATGCCCTAACCTAAGAATTTCAAATAACATTTTTCTGAAACTTCATAAAGAGACGAATAATCTTGCCAAGTTTCACAAAAATATTCGGAGTGATGGCCGCAGGAGAGCAATTTTTGCAAATGGGGGTGTTTTTCACTGGACGAATGTGGGTGCGTTTGGGTTAATTTTCATCACTTCAAATTATGTTCCTGGAACACCTGATCAAGAAAAAATGGTTGGTTGATATGGTTGCATATACAAGGAGAATTCCAACATCTTATTCAAGGATACCCTTTCACAATTGTTAACCCAATTGTTATCCCAAAACTAACCTAACCATTGTCTATCAGCCAACATCCAATTTCAAATCATCAATCCAATCCAATCATCTATCCAATCAACAATCAACAATCCAATCCTATTCCATACCACTGATTGAGTGATCATCATCTTTGGAATCATCATCCATTCATCATCAACTGAATATTTCCATTGCAAATCCTCATTGAAACACACACACACACACACACACATTGAAACACACACACACACATTGAAACAATCACACATTGAAACACACACATTGAAGGTCCCATTACACGAGCGCAATTGCCAATGAATCTAACATCAATAATCTGAACAACAAAAATCTCCATTCAAAAATTGAATGAATCTACCATCAATAATCTGAACAACAAAAACACACACACACACACACACACACACACAAAACACAAAACACAGCACAAATTGTAGACAAACTCATCTTAACACATGAGTGCTCGCGTGGGGTAGATTTTTTTTACCCCAGGCTCAATCAAATCGCTCCTACGCCGATTTCCTTGGAGCAATCCTGCCAGGACTCTAGGTATTCTTAATTCGAACTATTATCGATATTTTAAAAAAGTTCAAATGTCTAATTTCATCATTTTTCACTTATTTATTCGCGATCGAAATCCAATGATTGTATATTTTTTCATATATAGCGTTATCATAGGATCACAAGTGTGGAATAGATCTCATCCAAAGTTGTAAAATTCATTTTTTATTTTTCAAAGCTTATCTTCAATCATTTATCTTCAATAATTTTGGCGAAATTCATTTCCAAATTCAGTTGACTTGAAGAAGAAAGTGATGAAAAATTAGTATANTGCTTGACGCAAACCAATGAAACGATAATGATAGTAAACAATGGATGTTGCTTGACGCAAACCAATGAAACGATAATGATAGTAAACAATGGATGTTGCTTGACGCAAACCAATGAAACGATAATGGATATAAACAATGGGTGATGCTTGACGCAAACCAATGAAGCAATAATTGATATAAACAATAGATGATGATTACTGTAAATGATGAACGATAATTGACGCCCACCAATGAAACGATGATTGATGTATACAATTAGATGATGACTAATGTAAACAATAAACGATGCTTGACGCAAACCAATGAAACGATAATTGATGTAACAATGGATGATGCTCGACGCAAACCAATGAAACAATAATTGATATAAACAATAGATGATGCTCGACGCAAACCAATGAAACGATAACGGAAGATGCTTGACGCAAACCAATGAAACAATGATAGTTGTTACAAAACGATGTTTGACTGCACGTATGTGTTTTCCAAATATAGATAAACGAGGATTACGACCAACGTTGTACCAATAACGATTTGAACGAGATATACGAATCTTGCGTTCGATGTTGAAGCTGAACGAGACGTTTGAGTCTTGCGTTCGACGATGATAAATGGAAAAACACAATGGTGGATTCTAATCGAATTGGACAAAAACCTTGTTTGAAAAGGCTTTCTAATCGAAATGCACGAAAACTTTAATTGTAAAAGGTTTCATTTATTTGAAGTTAATAATTAATTTAAAAAATACAAAGTCGATAGAAAATTGTGTTGTTGTTGTTGTTGAAAACAATAATAATGTATGTTGTTGTTGATAGCATGACCTGACATGATACGTGTTTGTATGTGTATGCATGTGAAAAAAGGTGAGGTCGAAGTGGAATGTTTGTGGCCTTTTATATGATGTGACATCAAGTTTTTGGCGCGTTTTTACTTGTTTTTACCATATGACATTGATGTTAGCGCCATCCAATATTTTGAATTTTTGAGGCTATTTTGACAGATTCGGCTGCAAATTCTCCCCCCCTTCAAGTGGGTATATATCTCGATTGTTTCTTGTCATTACTTCATTACCAACCTGCACGCGATACGTGCGTATTATTCCATTAGCATCCGGAATTGTTCCAACAATTTGGCCTGTTGGCCACCTTTCTCTGTTGTATCGATTGTCTTTGATTAACACCCAATCGCCAATGTTGGAATGTACGTATTTTGTAGAGTATTTGTGGAAGTTTCGCAAATGCTTCAAATACAAGTCGGACCAGACTTTCCAAGCCGAGTTTATGTCTCGTCGTTTGCTTCTCCATTCGGTCAGCAGGTCCATTTTCATGTCAGATTTGTACGGTGGTTGTGGTGATTTTCTTATTTCTGCCCCATAGATTAGTTTATTTGGGGTCAGTATCGTATTTTCGATGGAGGCTATTGGTCGGGAATTTATGATGGCAGCTAATTCGTACAATATTGTTCTGAAATTTTCACTATTTAATTCTTTTCGCCATACAATTCCGTATAATGCACGTTTTGTAGATTTAATTAATGCTTCCCATGCACCACCACGATGAGGACTATAAGGCGTTGTAAAGTGCCATTCGATTTTGATCTGATTCAAACAACTATTTAATAATTTGCCTAGCTTTTTAAAGTTCGAACCGTTATCTGAATATATCACAGATGGACATCCACGAATGGCAGCGAAATTTCGTAACGCTTTTAAAACTTCAGATGATGAACAATCATCAACCGGTTCAAGGTGTATGGCTCTGGATGCAAAGCATGTAAACAGTAGTCCATACAATTTGTTTGGATGGCGAATTTCAAACATATCTATACCGGTGGTGTTGAAAGGCATGCTTCTCGAGACTCTACTTGATGGTGGTATGCCATAAAATGCTTCCAACGGTTTGGCTTTGTTGATTTGACATATTGTACATTTGTTTATTAACTTTTTTACCATTTGTCGAAGCTTTGGAGTAAAGTATGTTTCCCGGAATTCGCACATTGTTCGATATAATGATCCATGGCCAATGTTCTGATGAATTTTAGTCACCAATGCTTCTAAAAACGAACTTTTGGGAATGAAGATTGGATTTTTGCAATCAAAATCAAGATCTGAATTATCCAATCTTGTATTGCACCGAATTACACAATTGTCGTCCAAATAAACGTTAGGAAATTTGTTGATTTCGTCTATGAAATATTGTTGATTCAAACGAATGAGCATTGTTAATGGATCTAAAGATTGATCCGTTATTTGACAGATATGTTGCTTTGCCAATTCAATCCATTTTTCATAAGTGAGCGATTGATTAATGATGATATCACTTTGTATTTTGTTTGATATGTTGATTAAAAGTGATGAACATTGATTTGTTTCACTATAGATTTCTTGCAATAATTCAATATTGAGCACCTGAATATCCATCAATTGTTCAGGGCTTGCACCTCGAGTTAGAAAATCACTCGGGTTTCTTTTACCGGCTACCCAATGAATTGCATCGATTTTATTTCGAATATTATAAAGATGCACGGCAACACATTGAGGATATTTGTTGATATCATTAGTCAATCGTTGAACATTTACTTTTGAATCGGAAACAAGGATGGTTTTGTTGATTTGTATCATTGATTTGAACGCGTTACCAATGCTGGCACCCTTTGATAAAGCCAACAATTCACCAGTGACTGTTTTTCTTGGTTTCAACAATTTTGACTTTCCATAAATATATCTGGCTTCGGATCCATTGCTAAGATATACAGCCACTCCAATTGCGATGTTGCTTGCATCACAAAAGATAATGAGATCATAATTTGATGATGGTGAATTAAACAATTTTCGTGATAATTTGATATTTTTTAATTCTTTGATTTCATTCAAAATTGTTACTGCATTGCCATGAAGTTTGGGAGTTAATACATCATCCCAATCAATTTTTCTCGTCCATAAATCACTAATGAAGAATTTTAGTCGCAATACTGTTGGTAGAATTAATCCCATTGGATCATAGACTGACCCTATGATTCCCAATAAATAACGTTTAGTTATGTCAGCGGATAGGTCAATTGATGGTATCACTATTTGAATGTTGTCGTCGACTTTGTTCCAAATGATGCCGAGGACTTTACTTTCACCTAATCCATCTGACCATTGTTTATCGAGTTGAGGATCAGAACACTGCCATTTCCGCAATACCATTGACGCTTCTTTAAAGATGTTTGTGGAAACCTCATGGAAATCAATGGCTTCCTGAATGGTATTAACTGAACTTACTAGATCATCAACGTAAAGACTTGATTGAATTCCTGAAACTATTTCTGGAAATTCACGTACATATTTTTCGATATGATGATTAATAACAATATTTAACAAAAAGGGTGATGATGTTAATCCAAATGGCAATCTTAAAAATTTATAGCACACTAGTTGATTATTTTCTTTCCAAAGAAATTTAACGTATTTTTGATGATCTTTTTGAATGTATACACAATGAAAAGCAGCTTTAATATCAGCTACTAATGCAATTTGTTTGAGACGGAACTGTAGTAGTGATTTCGGTAGACTCCATGTTGTTACGCCTTTGAATAATGCTTGATTTAAACTGTTGATGCCATTTGATGCATTAAAAACTAAACGTTTTTTAGTTGTTGTTTTTTCGGATGTTGCTTTACGGGTGACTACATTATGTGGCATATGATATCCAGAATTTGGGATAATTTCAGTAGGTTGCACAATATTATCTTTTACGAGATCCTGAATGAGATCGTTGTATTCGCTGTAGTCTGAATCACGCATAGATGATACTTTTGAAAGCAACATTCGTTTAGCATTGTTGAAATTTGGGTTGATATCGTTGTTGTTGATGATAGGAAACTTTATTTCGTAAATCTTTCCAATATCGTTGTATATGAGATTGTTGTTGACAAAGTTGGTGACAAACTCACGCATTGCTTTATCATCTTCAGGATTGATCATTGAATCGATAGGGAGATCATGGTTTTCGGTAAGACACCCGACCACCATTGATTGAGCATCATCGGTCTGACCATGAACGATATAACCGAGAGATGTTTTTCCAATTATTAAAGAGCCGAAATTCTTATCCATTGCAAGAACTTTAAGACGATTGATGTCGCTGTTGCCGAAAAGTATATCTGTTGGAATATTTTCATCATTAAAGTCGATATTGAATACTTTATTAACGTAGCTTTGAATCATTGTCGGTAATACGTTGAATTTAAAATGACATACTGTATCATCAATGATTAATTTAATTTCTGTGATATTGCCATCTCGATCTGGTAATTTGATGATAGTGAAGTGATGACCGATGAGACGTCCATGATGACCACCATACCCGTTAATTCGAATGGGTACAGATTTAAACTTTGGTAAATTCAATAATTTCACCAACTTGTTTGAGATAAACGATAATTCGGAACCTCCGTCGAAGATGACTCGGGTTTTGATGTTGTTAATTTTGGTAGTCAACGTTTGTAGATATTGAGATGATCCGCCGGTTTTTGCTAATGCTGTATTGACCGATTGATTTTCAATAATTGTCTCTGATGATGGATTCGATGAAGATGATGATTGTGATGTACCGACAGATGATGATGATGATGACGATGGTGTGGTACTTTGATTGGTGCGACAAAGAAATGTAATGTGATTTCCTTTGCACTTATGACAGATGTAGGTTCTGTTGCATTCACGTGATCCGTGATTCTTGTTTGTACATTTGAAGCATCTTCTCTCTTTTTTCAGCACTTCAAATTTCTCATCGACTGATGTTGGACACAAGCTGTGGCGATGATGTTGTTGACAAAAAATACACGTTAGATTTGAATCGTTTGATGATGAAGTGACAAGTGTTTTATGCGACTCTAGTGGTCGATTGATTTTGTTGTTGACGTTGCTAGTCGTCACTTGGTTGATTAAAATATCGGTGGTGGTAATCTTTCGAAAATACTCTTCCACGTTTGCCAATGTTATATATTCCTGCTCGTTGGAATTGTCAGTTTGTTGAAAAGCTCGTCGTCTGTGTTCGACATCCATTTTGTTCAACACGTGGCTGAGGATCGTTCGTGCATCGCCTTCATTTAGTTTTATCGACCGGACGTTCAACAATAAATCGTAGTATTTGGCATACAAGCTCGGCCCAGCATCCAAGCGCAGATACGGTAATGAATATATTTTACTTGTTAATTCCTTAATAATGATCGCCGGTGAACCATAAAATTTATCGAGAATGTTGAATATAGTTGCGAAATTCGGATTTTCACGTTGATTCCTTATTCGAGTCTGTGCTTCTAACGGTAATGCACTGAATAAACGTCGAAATTTAGAGTTTGCCGTTGGAATCAATGTATTGTTGACAATTAATTCAAGGGCAGCATCTTTGAATTCTGGCCATTGAATAGCTGAACCGTTGAATTTAGGCATATCTTCAGCTTTGACTTTCATTGGATGACCATGGTTTAGAACGTTGTTGATCGGTGGTGATTGACTTGTTGATATTGGTGATAGCCGCAATAATGGTTGAATATTTTGCATGGATCGGTTTGCGACTACAATACTATTGTTTGCAATATTATCTGGCGTTGGTGAACGATTTGGATTCGCATTGGTTGTTGAACCAGATAATGGTGTGGATGATCGGTTGGAGCCCACGTTGGCTTCCGGATTCATAGATATTGGTGTTGATGGTGCTAAGCTAGATGAATCTAGTTTTGCCTGTAATTTGCAAATAAGACCAAAAGCTGCAGAAAATGTGGTTGTCATTTTGTTCAACTCATTGATTGCTTGTTGGCATTGATTGAATAAAATTGAAGATGAAATATTTTGAGATGTTTGATCATCGATTTGAACGTATAGATTAATGAATTTCAATATTTGGTTCAGTTTGTCCATGTGAACATTGTCATCAATAACATTATGTTCTTCTAGTTCAAGGATGATATCTTCGTAGTCCGAATATAGCGATGATGCTGTATCTATTTCAGGCATAGTGCCAAGTACACTTAGCTGATTGAACATTTTTGTGATTTTTGTACGATATATTTTTCGTTGTGCCACAAGATCGTCGACCGAAAATTGAATATCTGGATCGTCCGACATGATATAAAACAGTAAGACGATATTTGTTACGAATGATGAAACGATAATTGATGTTACCAATTAGACGATGGTTACTGAAAATGATGAACGATAATTGACGCCCACCAATGACACGATGATTGATGTAAACAATTAGATGATGACTAATGTAAACAACGGATGATGCTTGACGCAAACCAATGAAACAATGATAGTTGATATAAACAATGGATGATGCTCGACGCAAACCAATGAAACGATAATTGTTGTTACAAACGATGAACGATAATTGATGTTAACAATTAGACGATGATTACTGCAAATGATGAACGATTATTGACGCCCACCAATGACACGATGATTAATGTAAACAATGGATGATGCTCGACGCAAACCAATGAAACGATAATTGATGTAGACAATGGACGATGCTTGACGCAAACCAATGAAACGATAATGATAGTAAACAATGGATGTTGCTTGACGCAAACCAATGAAACGATAATGATAGTAAACAATGGATGTTGCTTGACGCAAACCAATGAAACGATAATGATAGTAAA